GATTTCGACGTCGATATTTTTTGAATGAGCGAAACATAATCACAAGGAGTTGTGGTGCTGAACGTACGTTGAATGCATGGCGCACTCTGATGTAATCGATCAGCGCCAGCTGTTTTGTTCTTCTTGGAATTGGCTGACTCCTCTTTTCCCAAGCCAGGAAACACTTCACGGATCCTACATTGTTCTTCTTTCCCTGAATTTATGAACGAAATATGAAACGCCATAGATTCACCACGATTCAACTGACGGTCGAGTGCGGGGCGCATCCCGTTCCAGATGGTCTCTCCGACCTTTTTTATCTTTAGCTCAAGTTTGATCTCCTTTACCAACGATTTAAGAAGATGTTGAAGATAGTTTGTGTGGTGAAACGATGACCGCTCTTCATGTAGTCATGAACCCCCAAAACGATAGGGCCAGTGACGAGCAGGGCACGCCGTAAATAGTCCTCACAAGGGAAGGGGTTAGGTCGACGGAAGAAGGCAAATTGTGCTTTCCACAAGTTTCTTGATAGCTAACTTTCCGATTTCTTGCGCGCTGTTCACATCGTTAGGAGACTTCCATGGTGGAGGGAGGTGAGACGAGAGGGGAGAGGGTACTCTCTCGCCGGTTGTCCCAGAATTTTTGGAGAAATTTCAGGATTATGGTGACTGTTGGGAAAAGTTAGTACGGTGCTGATGTGGGGTGTTGAAGTGCATCTAAGAAGGTCTCTTCCACTAATGATGCCATTCTGAGCCCTCTACAATCGAAGAGGAAGGCTGTCCTGGCTTCAGTCTGCACCGCTTTACACATACTATCGTTTGAAGGGATCACGACTGTAGGGCTAGAAAAAAAATGTTGATCGTTATTACTTCAGTGGTATCGATTATATTCGTGCGATGAATTGGTTGAAGGGAATGCTAGCGCTGTTTGGTTTGGAGGGGACATTTTGCACTTCCGCTAATTCATCTTGTTAGTTCATGCTAACCGAAAAGTCTTACTTTGGTCGGACCTCTGAAGCTGCGAAATTGTACAAGTGAGCCACATTCACGGGAATTTACAGGTTTTCACTATGTGGCGCCGTACAATAGTACCATCTGGTGCCCCCACCAAGCCGAACTGCGCCAAAATTTTTGCAGTATGTTCTCATAGCTGAATTTTTGCAAGTATCCAGTGAGTGTGGCTTGCTCCAGAGGCCTATGATAGCTAAGGATATCGATTGGTGGGTATTGATCATGGACATCAATACTCGCTTGGTGGTGGTCTTGCCGGTTGCTACGGCGCGTCTTGAAAGATGTCAAAGACCTAATAAAACATTTTCAATCAATCGCGAGAGAACGGTGTGAGTCGGTGCGAAAGGATATCTAGGCCATGCGCATTTAGATTAGCACCATGACAATAGAAAAAAGTCGTCACAAAATCGAATTAAAACAACCACAGCTAAGAGCCTTCAACACCTGGAAGAACGTTTTTGGAGCCCTTTCTCTGACTAAAGTGGCCCAAATGGGGGAGACTAAACTGAACAGTAAGGTGTAGGGAGAATAGGAGAAGTGAGAAAAGGAAGTGAAATGGCAGAATTGGTTTCCGGCGCAGTTCGGCTTGGTGGGGTCACCGAATTGTATAAAACTTGTAGTGGCTACCTTGTGAGGAACTGCAATTTCTCTGGCCAAAGCGGCTCCCTATGAAAGGTCCGACCAAGTGAGTCCTGTTAGTTGTAGGACCAATGAAAGAAATCAGCGATGCAAATGGCCTCCTCCAAGCCAAAAAACGCCCTTGTTTCTCTTATAAATATCACTCCGACCGGAAACTCCTCGTGTTCCCCTCGAAGCGAAGGCAGTGGGTACATTCCAGTCACTAGGAACGCCCGTGTTACATTTTTATAGAGTGGGTACGCCGAAACCAACGAAGAGTTCGATGACCGATTTTTCATGGAAGGACTGCCTGGCGGTGGGGAAGGGAAGTGGGAGAGGGGGAAGGAGACGAAAAGCAGCTTCTGCGTTCAAAAGTTTCTATCTTCATAATAAAAGTAAAGCGAGCGGAATGTTGCTTAATGTCCGCTTCATTTCTGTCTATTTTGGAGATTTGTCTCCGAAGAACACTTTTGTACGAAATATTTGTACGAAAATGTGTGATTCCAGCGATTCCGGATGGAGACACCTGCCTATCCCAAGGAACCCGTGAACATGGTGAATGTCGCTGTAATCCTCATTTCTATGGAGAATACTGTCAGTATAGAGGTGAGTGCGTGTTATCCACACCTTTTTCCAGGTTTTGAGGCCAACGACGTTCGCCTCGGTGACGCCTCGGAGGAAACTGGTGCTAAAAGGCGGCAAACGTGTTATCGCATTAGATCAGCGCCCGATCTTCAATGAGCTAGTCTGCTGCGGTTGACAGCAACATCAACGGGGGAAAGAACTAAACATGATTTCGAGGGTGGGGGGTTCGTCGATGAAAACATGGTGGTCGCGTGTCGCTATCTGCACTTAGGATCTTTTCCTGTTCTCTTGACCCCTTCTCGTCTCAGAACTTTCTTAGACCATAAATATCAGGTCGTTCAGTATGAAATGTCCGTTTTTCAGAAGTGCATAGTTCGAGAGTCCGTATCTAAGGCAAAACGCTCCGGCAGTCCTTGGTACTGAGTTTTGGTAAAGGTGCAGCCTCCCTCTTTCTTACCTTCGGTGGACCTCCGGCTGCCGTGGAATCTGACTTTTTTAGAAAGGTTTTTGTAACGACATGGACAAGTCCAAATTGCGTGTTGTCTTGGAGTACGAGTTCCGCCGTGGAAGCACCGCAGCACAGGCAGTTCGGAATATCACCGTCGTCTTTGGAGAGGATGCCCCTAACGAACGAACAGTACGTCGATGGTTTGCAAAGTTTGAATCCGGCGACTTCGATCTTCAAAATGAGTCGAGAGGACGGCCCGAGTGCAAGCTGAACAACGATGAGCTTAAAGCCGTAGTGGAAGCTGATCCCACTCAAAGTACTCGAGAATTAGCGCGAATAAGTTTGGATGTATGTAAGGGTTGAACGAATCTCGCTCATTTGGAAGGCAAATTGGGGCGCCAGAAGAGTAGGAAGCTGGACCGTTGGGTACCGCACGACTTGAGCGATCGTCAGAAGAGGGTCCGCCTTGAGGCTTGCCTTTCCTTACTTTCTAGGCAAAAAAGCGAGCCTTTCTTACACCGTCTCGTCACATGTGACGAGAAGTGGATCCATTTCGATAACAGGAAGCGGTCTTACCAGTGGTTGGACAAGTCGGAACCGCCAAAACCTACGCCGAAGCCGGACCCTCACCAGAGGAAGACTATGGTATCAGTTTGGTGGTCCTCCGCAGGAGTGATTCACTACAGCTTTACGAGACCTGGTCAGGCGATCACGGCGGAGGCGTACTGTCAACAGCTGGAGGAAATGATGGAGAAGCTTGCTGTTATGCAGCCGAGAATGATTAACAGAGACCGACCGCTCCTACTGCAGGACAACGCTCGGCCACATGTGGCAAACTCGACCTTGTTAAAATTACAGGATTTGGACTTGGAAACTCTCGTTCATCCTCCTTACTCTCCCGACCTAGCACCTACAGATTACCATTTCTTTCAAGCTTTAGATCACTTCTTGCAGGGAAAATTATTCAATTCTTATGATGATGTAGAAAGTGCCTTTCATGATTTTATTGCCTCTCGCTCCCCAGATTTCTATAGAGATGGAATTAATAAGTTACCTTTAAAATGGCAAAGATGTGTTGATAACTTAGGATCATATTTTGATTGATTGTAATTTGCGTTGTATGAGATATGATAAACTGAAGTTGACTCTCAAAAACGGACATTTCATACTGAACGACCTAATAGCTCTTGAATATGAATGCTAATTTCTACTGGGAAAATACTTGACCCTAATCAAGTATCGCATCTGGGTCCACCTGCTTATCGAGCAAGCATCGTGCACGAGGGTGAATATCTTTCGACTGGTTAGGGTGGGCGTAGATAGGACTCTCCTTCACCCTTTGTAGACCCACTCTATGGAGGCTGCATGGAAAGTGACTGAAACGGCAAATACGAACGATATGGCTCGACTCTTGCAGTAATAAATAAAAAAGACGCCTGGCGCCGCTGCGCAAGCCCAGAGCCTTCCACGCCCGGCCTCCTGGGAACATGCTCTCAGCGGGACAAAGATTGTTATTTGCTGAAAAGCAGCCAAAGTTGGCATGCAGAGGGGCCCCTATATCTGATAATTGTGAAGGAAGAAGCTGGTCAGTTGTAAAGTAAATGTGTTCAAGCTGACTGCTCAAACAACGACAACTGCGGTGTGAACGGGCTTTGTGAGACGTCACCCATCGATGGCGCTAAGCAATGCTTTTGCGCAGGTGGACGTTATGGAGATCAGTGCGAGAAAGGTTCGTTATCTTTTACAGTCCCTTTTTGAAATTTTTTCGGCCGAAAAAACCCTAAATTTCAGAAAGCCCAGCTATCAAGTACAGCTCTGAGTTTGACGAATCACTCTACAATATGAAAGAAGTGGAAAATAACAAAATATTCTGGCGAATTCTCAACGTAAGATTTTTTCAGAATACACCTCTTTGAGCATCTTCGCAGCATATCTTGTTCAGGACGAAATCGAAGTGGTTCTACGGTATCCCGGCGAGTCATGGGCGGCTATTGGATGGAAGCCACAGGATGCACAATGTTCCTCAAATTGCCGACCAATTTAAGCAACCGTCAAGTGAGTTCGATGCTGCGTTCCCAACCGTATTGTACTTCTTTTGATTACTGTATTTTTTTCAGCTACAGTATCGACAAGTACCCATACCCTGCACAAGGTCGAGATAAAGCCACCCGAAGCGCGTCCCGTAACGATCGAACTACTGCGACTACTGAACTCGGAATCACGACAGGCGCGTCTACTCCACTACCGCTCCAGCTACGCGTCCTTCCAGGACAACCATCACTACCAACCACTGCCATTTCATCTAATGAGACGCAGTAAGTAAGTTCAAAGATATGTATCTACTTGGCGCTCTTTTAAACAATTCAGCGGTCTTTTCAGGCGAAGACTGCGGCCCAAATGAGCAATGGTCATCATGTCCCGAAATGTCACGGGATTGCGAACCTTCGTGTGATTGGACACGATTCCCGGAGACCATTCCAAATAATTGTCCACGATTCGTGTGGGAGTGGCCCGATGTGATCCTGACAAGGTATAAACAGTGTTTTTGCTTTGCTTGCCATGGCTAGGGAATCTTAGTTGTAAGTGCTTCAGGAAGGCTTTGTGCGAATGACTAACGACGAGGAGGCTTGCGTACCATTTGATTTCTGCGACAAGGAGGTAAGCGTACAAAGAGCGTCCTGTTAGAAGAACAGGCAGCCCTTAAATGCTTCTTTTGGGGTTTAGAAATCTTTACAAAAGGTTGGCTTTATTGGAAGTCCTCAGCGAGGGTGGCATTAACCTCTGTATGAGGGCATCACCCGGTTTGGCTCAAAAACTTCAGGCGCTGGCGCCGAATTTTCGGCGGATTATCCTTCTATCTCCTCTCAACTGTATATGATTGTGATATTTTCATGCGAAGTGATTCTGGTTCCTACCAAGGATCAAGCTACCGCTGAAGACAATTACTAACCACAGAGGGGTTCCTGAGCAGTTATGGGTAAAGGTAGAGGCGAAGGTGGTATAGGGGATGTGGCACCCTTAATCACGCGCGTCGGTTCGAGTCATCTACTGGATGGAATACTGCTCAGACCAGCTCCTCTGACGAACCTTAAATTGGCATCAGATTCGTCTAGGAGATAAAAAATGATGACTCATATATCGGCTGCCCCATCCCTCCCCCCCCCTCAAGTCATTGAACAGCCGCATCGCATTCACTAAGCCACTGCGATCATGAATGGAAGGAGAATGTGTGGCACATCCCAAGAAGGGATTGATTAGTGGCAAACACTAAGCTTGTTGGTACTTTCTCAAAGGGTAAAGTTGTCAATTCTTGATATGGAGTATTACTTTTCTTCGATTCGTAGGAGGTTTTATCTCAGTTCCCTCCCATGCTAAAAGATGGAGTCCGTGCTGTATCAGCCCTTTTGGGGATACGGTACGCATTCTTCTTCCATTCAGGATCGTAGAGCTTTATTAAGTGCTAAGTGGCCTACATAATGACATGCGATGCCAGCCGCTGTACAAGTTAGTGTTCTTATCCTCCAAGGCAAATCTTGAACCAGTTTATCGTCGAAGACCTAGGCGGGAGCTTCTCCTTCTTTTATTTCCTTCCCACACTCCTTTCACTGGTAAAGATACTCAATCTTGAGGGAACATCCTATACAGTTTAAAAATGAAGAAGCAGGGCGTTGAATGTCATACGCGTTTTTCAGGCCGAGCCGTCGTGCCCCACAAATTCGACGTGGGCAAAATGTGGAACGGCATGTGAGCCCAGCTGCGCAAACATGTACGATACGGCTCCTTGCCCAGCAACGTGTGAAAAATCTGCATGCACATGTGCCGACAACTACGTGCGTTATGAAGGGGCGTGCATCTATTGGGGAGATTGCCCTGGTAAGTTGAGCATCAGTTTCTTTGAGTCTCTTACCCACTCATCTGACATTAGGTTTACTTTGACATTAAAGGCAGCTGGCGATCTAAGACGGGTTATCATTAGCACACCTGGCAAGACGGAACTCCGCGACCCCTCTGCAGGTGCTGTAAGCCTTCTTCAAGGAAGGTACCCTCCTAAGGCTCTATCAAGCTACAGCATACCGACTCGAACGCCCACCGCGCCTGCCCGCCCACAAATGTACCTGATGGGCTGAACGGACTGACATGAAGCGGTCCGCGGTGCTGCATGGATATATGAGTACATACGTGCAGCCGTACCTACCGTAGCGGTTATTGGCAAGATGCCTACGGGAAACTCGTCCGAAATTGCTTTTTGAGTCATTAAGAACGAAGGCTTTTTTCGCAGGTTTTTGACCATTTCACTTCGTTTTTTCGCCATTTTCCCCAATATATAGGGAAGGGCTAGTGCAGTTATCGTCAATGAAAAAGACTTCGAATGCGCGGAGTGGTAAGACCAAACCAACTGATTTTGTTTCTTTTCAAGTATTTGAAGGTAAGTTTGTGGAGCGGGAGGCAAATTAGGCTAATTGCCAATGCAAGTGGGGGAAGTACCATCAAGGGAAAAGATTTTTTCTGTTACGAATGGTAGAGGGTGTTGTACGAGTGTTGCTGAAATGGCCTTATAACTCGTGGGTGGTCTTGACGTGTCTAATTCTATGAGCATTGAAAAACTTAATGCGACCACGACGAACTTTTTCTTGAACAACTCGTCTTACGCGATCATCCTGTTAAATCCATCTCCCACATCTCGTAATGCTAAATTGCGTTTAGACGGATATTTCAAGATAGAATGGGGTATTGGACGATCTCATGAGTGGGCAAGAATGGGGTACTGGGCGATCCCATGAGTGGGCACCATCAAGAACCGTCTTCTGAGAGTTCACTCTTTGGTGGAAACATTTCTTTCCTCGGGATTGAAGATGGGCCACGTTTCGCGTTTTTCCTGAACCATAGGGTTGTCTAGGCGGTTTTGAAGAAGTGAGGAACAATGGCAGAAAAATCTTTGTTTTCTGAGAAAAGTCGGGCGCAGTTCGGCGACGGGGAGGGGCATTTTGCACTTCACTGCTTCACTAGTTCCGGTTTACAAGTCTCACTCTGGTGAAACTTGTGAACTCTTGTGAAGCTGGAGCAAGCTCGTCTAGCCACCATGGTAAAACCTGTCAACTCAGTAAAAGGCTATCTAGATGGGTCGACACATTGATGGGAAGCAAAATGCCCCCTCCCCCTCCATCGCCGAACCGCGCCGAAAAGTCATTTAACTTGGCCATCATGGCATCGGTTATTTTTCGAGACTATGTGGTAGTCGTACCTTCCATGACCTAATAAGGTATACTCTAGTTCGCTGCGGATGAAGGGGCGTGTCCAGGTAGTATGAGCGTGCCGCGGCGCCAAACCCATTCTCTACCACTTGGTGAAGCGCGTATGCGACAACAGTTGCTAGAAAACGGCTGATACAAACGTTATGATACAGTCTTGTCGCTTGCTCGCTTCAATAATTGTTGGAAGACGGATTCGGCACCGCGCCAATCATCCGCCTGACACGCCCCTTCGTCCGCAACGAACTAGATTATATGAACAGTCGTTTTATCGGGGCACAGTTTCGAGAAGTTGAACCTTTCTAAAAAAATTAGGAAAGCTTGTCTAGCACAGGCGCTGGACATAGTCCCAACTGCAGATCTCTGTGTCCACCACCAGAGGCGAACACTGCCACGAGTAAATACAAATCTCCGGTGGAAGATAATTCCACAGAACTGGAATATCTGAAAGTGTCCCTTTGATGCAAATAGAGTTGATGGATGACATCGGGTTATCAAAATGAGGTGTATGTGCGTGTGAAAATCATGTGGTCGAATACTGAACACTAACATGTAGCTAGGCATAACATCAAGGATATAATGCGAATGCAGCCGCAGGCGCGAGTAGATCGGCGCCGCTCGCTTATATTGAGACAATTTGGAGGAACGTTGTTCAATCACACAGTCTGGTATCGATCGAACCGATACCAAGGGCGGCGTCAACGCGCGCTACAGCGCGTCGTCGCGAGGTCTTAACGTTGCCTCAAAGTTTGGCTGTTCATATGTATCTTTCTCTGCTCCAGTGTAGGTCTTGTAGAAGTCAACTCGTGAAATTGCCTCCTCATCGGGGTATGAATCTTTTGTTCAGAAGAAGGTCATAATCATTGCGGATCTAAAACCTAATATATGATAACCAGGCTGAATTTCCTTTTTCAGATATCGACAGCCATTTCCACAGCGATTCCTCATCGAACCATACCACCGAGATCATGCATGTGCCATCCGTTTCTGGTGAGTCGTCTTATAGTGCATCTCGCCAGTTCTGAAGGCAGCTTCCTACAATAAAAGCTTTATATTCGTGACCCTGTACCTAAAGAATTTGGTTTCAGTCGATTTACCAGTGCAGACCCGAATAGCCTCAACGACGACATCGACGACGTCCAGCACGGAAGGCCTGAGATGCGCCGTGAATGAGACGGTTGTTGAATGTGGAAGAGTCTGTGAAGCAGACTGTGTGTCGATCTTTACCCGTTCCGATTGCGATGAGTGTGGATCACCGGCTTGTGCCTGTATGCAGGGTTACGCCCGTAATCCTCAAGGCACCTGCGTCTACTGGGGAGACTGCCCGGTTAATGGTGGGTCCTTCTGGAATCTGTATGTATTAGGAGGTTGAAAATCGTTCTCTACATGGGGGAGATGAGTTTCGAAAGATATAATATTTGCAGGTTCGGCTGAAGCGACCACAACTACACCTGCTCCTACCACCCGAAAGAAGATTGAGAAACCTACAAAAACCAAAGGTAAATATAAGCAATAAACATCCGTATTTGATAGGCTTGAGATGAGTCCCTCCATTTGGATGGAAATGGCAGCAAGTGGCGATGCCACTTACAATGTTTTGTATTAGTTAGGGGAACAGACCGCGGATCGGCTTCTGTCTAGCCCAACTCCAGGGTTGACTTGCCCCAACGAAAAATAGACAGAGGAATCGCTCTCAGTAAACCCTTGCCTCTCCACGAAACCGAAGGCTCGTTCAGTGTCTCGGACGAAAGGCCAGACCAAGGGAACGACAGAGCATCGAAGGGCGGCGTGGGTGGAGTCACTGACCTTTGGCGGAGTTACATGCAGCGACATCTTGCACGCTCTGCGCTCTGTTGCAATTTATGACGCAAACATTACAATGATGTCCATTGCGGTCCTTTCTGCCTATTATCGCAGAGTGAGCCCTTAAGAATTAGAAGGCGCTGTGGTATAAGCGGGTTGAGCCAAGGAGGCCAAGGAGTAATCCTCAACGTGATGGTGGCATTTCAATCGCCCTGGGGCGGGTGTCTTATATCGGGCCTGTTGATATCGTCTCAGTGAGTTGCAGCGGTGTCAGGAGGCGGCAGTGAGCCCACCCATGGCTGCCTTTTATACTAGTGTGGACCGATTCAGCTAGAATGCAACCCAATAGAAAATGCCGCGGGTGGGCCCATTCCTGACGATTGCCTTGATATCAACTGTATTTATCGGTAGAGGAAGAGTAGAGCTTGTTATAAGAGGGTAGGAATTGTACTGCACAATCAATTTTCCCTCATCATCATGACGTACCTACGGCAGACTGAGGCCTTCGCAGCCAATCAAAAATGCCTGCTCGCCCGTCTCCCTTCCTCCTCCCTCCCTCCTTTCCCATCTTCAGCGCACCCCTCAATGGCTATGCCCAACTCCACATAATCACAGAGCGCTGACTGTATCTCTAAAATAATTATGACTGATAATTATTGTGGAAATATATTCCTAGATCTTATTTCTAGTGGGCGGTGATGTTTGCTATGGCGACTTCCGCTATCCAACTGGATGTTCGGATTGTGACTACAAGTTGTCGTGGAATTACGTCGAGGATTCTGATGATATTGAGTTTTCTCTGGAAACGAAGCTCAAGCAGAACTCTTGGACCGGCCTGGGTCTCAGCAAAGACGGCTCTATGGTCAGTAGCTTGTTGTTGCTGTTCAACGGGCAATAGCGTTTCAAACGGGAATTAAGCTAACTAAATGATGTTCAGGTCGAAGCGTGTCGACTGGCATATGAATCTCGGCGGGATCTCAGTCTTCACGATATATGTTTAGGTCCATGGTTTATGGAGCGCGCAACGGAATGCAACAAGATCTTTTCACTCCCAATGTGGTACGTTTCCAAACAGTGCTTGAGGATCCCAAAGCATTCTGAGAGGACCTGATTACCTTGCAGATCGGAACACATGCGAATGGAGTGTTGCGAGCACAGTTTATGCGAAAGCGGAGCACCGGCGACAAAAACGATAAGTCGTTTGTAGACGAATGCTGGAAAATGATGTTCCCCGTGACTGGAGGGAAACTTGATGACGTTGGTTTCGCTCGAGGATTTTTAAAGAAATTTGGAGGTTTTTGCCAAGTCTACAGATTTTCAGAGCGGTAACGTCACCGCCCATATCGAAACGCCTTTGGTGACCGATAAGGAAGTCTGCATCAGAAGTTGTCGGGAGGAGAAGAAAAGTGATGGTTAGTCTGTTGAATTCGATGCGGTGAAGTCAGAGCAGCCGTTTCCCGGGTTCTCTTAGAAATTCCGCTTGCCTGAAACACTTCAACAATTTAATTAACAACGCTTCCCCTCTGGTCACCTTTTTCCCATTCCCTCCCCACTTTAAAGGCAGTTGGCACGATATGGTAATTGGCCTAAAATACTAGTAGGGCACTATATAGTGGGGGGAATGGCGAAAGAACGGAGTGAAGCGGTCAAAATCCGAAAAAAAGAGACTCCGTTCCTGGGTTAGTAATCAATTTTGGACGAGTTTCTCGAAGGCACCTTACCAATAACCGCTACCAAAGGTTCGGCTGCCTGTGCACCCATATATCCATGCAGCATCACGACCGCTTCATACCAACGCCTTCGCTTCATGATTATCTTAGCAAATGAATCAATTCGAGCTTCAGGAACAGTCGTCCATTTGTGGGCGGGCGCGGCAAGGGGCGTTTGGGACGTAAAGTTGTGGCTTGATAGGGCCCTTATAAGGGCACCTTCCCTGGAAAAGGCATTATGCAGCGCCTGCTCAGGGTCGCGGAATTCCGTCCTGCCAGGCGTATTAGTCCTACTCGTCTTGGAGGATTTATCGTGCCAACTGCCTTTGAAGTTGAAAGGTTGAAAGTGTGAAGTTTTGTCCTGCAAAATCCCTTTTAGGATGCGCCACGCATACCATAGTAGTTCAATACAGAATCGTAGCGGCATTTCAGTGTGGTTTGATCCGTACAACGACTTGAGGAAGGATGGGGCTGGAGGAGTGGTGGTGCGCTATGAAGCTGTGAGCCGGTTGGGTTCAGTTCTCGCAGGCGAATATGTGACCAATAAGCCAGCACGGGAGTAAATGAAGTAATGAAATGCTCATAGTTGATAATGTCGCGATCCAGCGAGGCGATGCCAGGAAGCGTAGAATGAGCTCATTCGCGGTCGGAGTTTCTACCAATGGTCCACCGGTCAGGTAGAGATCAGCCAGTGGGAGAAAACTTCGCCGCTGGGTTCATTCCACACCGGATTTCGGCGGTATCAAGTATACATGGCACGGGCGAGAGTCAACCTCGGATTAACCTCTCGGAGGGTGTGCTCAGTCTCGGCTGGAAACCCTTCCCATCAATTCCCCTGGTGACACTTCAAATGCCTCCGTATGTGTTGCTGAAAAAATTGCGCCGGGATCCTCACTATAGCAGAACAAGGTGCCCAGTTACTAAAAGAGGCAGTGGGCGAGTCCAGGTCTCCCTCTCTTCGCCTCATCTGTTTCCTATCGACCAGGAAGTGTTCGGTGACTCTGGTTGACGTCTCTGGGAGCGAGACGAGCAGAGAATAAGTGTGGCTCAGTATCGCTTACTGTCCACCCTCTCACCTACCTTAGCCATAAGAATTGAGAGATTGAGAACGACTGAACGTCTTTTATTCTGCTACTACTTGCTAGCTGCTGGTTGTCCGGATAAATATTAGGTTGGAAGGAAAGTCCTGTCAGTGTTTTTTGAAAAGCTTACAGTTTTTGATTCTCGATGCTCGTACATGACGTAACATGCTATGCTTGTAGGACACTCTGGGAGCTTTCCTGCGAGGGCGCCTGCTCTTCCCTGGGTTTAATTACGATGTCAGTTTCACAGGAGTATCTTCGGGTCATCATCTTCTATCAGTGGCCCCGCGGCACTGGAGCCACGGCAGCTGTCCGTAACATCAACAGTGCATTGAGGGAGGACACCACTACCGTCAGGATCGTTCACTTTTAGTTCGCTCGCTTCGCGAAAAGAGACTCGATCCTCGAAGACAAACCTTGGTTGGGACGGCCCCAAGAAGTATAAGACTCCACCATTCTCGAAGCAGACAAGGGGGATCCAGAGCCTACCACCCGCAGTCTTGCGACAAGACTCGGATGTACCTAATGTTCTCTGCTTCATCTTCTTGATGGCACCTTCAACTTCATCCTCGGTGATACGTGGGATGGGCCCTTGGGTCGGTGGTTCATTTGGAAGCGCCGGATGCGGATACTCGACGTTGCAGATTTCCTGGAAGTAATCTTGCCAGCGCTTCCTGATTTTCTCAAAGTCATACAGAAGCACTCCATTGCCAGATTTAATGAACGTCGTGGTGCTCGTGAAATCTTGCGTTGCTCTGGAGCGAGCTCTGGCAAGGCGGTAATCTGCTTCTCTCCTTCTTTGGTATCCAGATCGGCGATAAGAGCTTCTGCCTTGCTCTTAATGGCACTAGCAATTGTCCGTTTGGTTTCTCGCTTGGCTTCGCGGTACCTCATTCTGGTCTCTTCCGTAGGGTTGAGGTACCAAGCTTTGTACGCGTCTTTCTTTGCCTTGACCGCGGCTGAGACAT